GAGGCTTGCCTCGCCGTTTGTTTTTTGCTCTGGTGACGAGCCCATTGCAACGTGGGGATCTGGGAGAGGGCAAGGTTTTGCAAAATATAAGGTAGAAGTCCTGGATAGAATGGATTTTCAGACGTTGCTAACAAGAATTTTTCTGCGACGGAGCAAGAAAGAGGCTGTAGACGAGCCGGACAGAGGAATGAATCTGGCCAGTGGCGGCGGCGCTATTTGACTAGAGGCGGGAAGGAACGGTGGGGTGCGACAGCTACCAAAAGCAACAACAACAAAAACAAACAAACGTTATCACGACGGATCCATCAATATGATCTCTAGAAGCCGCAGGGGGGCCTTAACCAGACTAGTGCGTCACTGCCTCTTGTTCCCTCGTTGCTATCGCCTGAAAATTGTTTGCAACCCTTAGGGAACACAAGGTTCTCTGCCCCGCGCCCAGGAAGGGTATCTGCTGCCCAGTAGTGGGGGTTCGGGCATTTCAAACCCATGGGTGCATGGCAATTGCGTCACTTGCTGCACGGTTACGCTGAGCTGAGTCAAGCGTCTAACGCTGCCACAGCATAATCTATTCACTGTCGTGTGACTGTGCGAGCCATATACTCTTCAAGGCCTCCATCTGAGGTTTGTTTGCTCTCTTCTTGACTTTAAATACGACACGTGTAGCCAAACCCTCCAAATCTAACTCAAAATGATTTGTGCCTGGGTATGAAGCGATAGTATAAATCATGATGGCTTCATGCTACCCGGTAGCTACTGTCGTTGGCCAACGCTCATACAAAGTATACAGTGACAAGCATTCTATAATTAATTGATATTATCATGGGCATCTATTCAGACACGACGCGTTATATTAGTGAGCAGGAACGGCATAAGTTTTTAATCATGTGGTAATATACTCATATATGCGTTGTAAAAACAGCCTTGAGACGCCGAATTCTTCTCCTTATTTAGATATGAACACGCCAAATGAATATTAATCCAAGCCTGTCCATAAGTCCTTCACGTACCCCTCCGTCAACCTCTCGTCCTCCCCATACGTCTGCTGCCAACTCTGAAAGCCATCCGTCAGCACATACACCGTCTGGCCCTCTGGCACAGTCTCCCCCAGTGACCTGAGCAGCCCGTCTCTGTCACGCAGGTAGGCCAGCGCAGATTTCGGCCCGCGGACCTGGCTTAGCATGCAGTGAAACACAACGGCCTTCTTCTCACGGAGGCGGCGCACCAGGGTCGGCATCGTGGCATCGAGCTGATGGCTGGGGACATTGGTGGCGCCCTTGATGTGGCCTCCAATATAGTCTGATGAGGAGGCATCCTACGTTAGTTCATGTTTGTAAAATCCGTGGCAATATGCCAGATGTGGGAAACCAACCATCGTCTCGGACATCAATGATGGCAAAGGTAGTGTCCTTGGCATCTCGCTCGGCAAGAATCTTCTCTGAGAGAGTCTTGGCGGTCATCCGCGGCAGAGACGCAATCGTGGCCATGCTGCGAGTTGAGGCGGGGAGTTTGAATAACGACCGAATTCTTGAAATGGACATTCAGAGGCTCTGGCTTCCAGGGCAGACCCTTTTTCTCGGGTGGGAGTTGTCGAGCTGAATGCTTCACAGTGCTAATACGGACTCAGCGAGAGGGGTGCATTATTAGTGGAGGAGCAGCTTTCAGACACCACCTCTACCTTCTACTCATGCACAACACCACCACCAACATGCCTTTGATTTTCCCACCTGCGCTGCTTTCGACAAACCACAGCCAAATACGTAATTCTCTCACAAGAGAAAAGCATCGGTTCATCAATAGGAATATATTCATTTATCATTTATCACTACAAGCTTCCAAGACACCATAGCCGGCCCGAAAGACCACACCAGAACGCCGCCGTGAGATCTTAACCACACCAAAGAAGCAAAATGTGAACACCCGAATTACATCGTTGGAGCTGGAAATGCGACCAATATTCATACACACCCTCATGCCTTACCGACCCAGCCGGAATTGACAAAGAAATCAAATATGCGAGCACCTTTTTGCGAATCTAGTCGGCAGATGTCCTTTGCTTGCTTCTTCTTCATCGTACCATTGCTCTTGAGCGCCTCCTTGAGGATTTGCTCCTTGATCATCAGATATGGCTTCGGTGCTAGGCGCACAATTTCGCACAATTTCACTTCCTCTGGAGTCAGCAGATGTACATCCGCATTGTTCTCGGATGTCAGCATGAGTGGCTGCAGGCCGGGTATTGGCAACGGCAAGTTTGCTAGCTTCGCCGACCCGTGGCCGTTGACGCCATTTACCCCGTTGGTGTGCCCATTTGTGAGGTGCTTGGAGTCACCGTTCGTGATGCCGTTCGTCTGGCCAGCAGACCGTATCGGCAACTCTGGAGCGACAAGCAGAGCAGCTCCGCTTGGAGGTTCTGGTGGCGGCGGCTGCTTAGACCGCTGAGCATTGGCCAGGCGCTCTCTGTCCATCGATCCCATGGGGATTGATTTTTGTATTCGGGTAGCCTTGTCTGCCTCATATTTTTCCCCGCCTCGGAGATCTCCAATCTTGAGTGATCGCCACTCTTGAAGCTGAGAGATGGCCTGTCTGAGGTTCAATTCATCGAGGAGACCTAGGCTGAATTCCTCAAACTCCTTGTGATTCATGATGCGAGCAAAGGGCTTTGCCTTTTGCAGCAGGTCCTTTTCCTCCTTGGACCTCTTCTTTTCAAGCTTTATGTTTTCTCTATAATCGAGCAAGTTGTGCTCGAATATCACCTTCTTTCGCTCCACACGCTGAGTTAAGCGACAATTATAGATTTCCATGACTGTGAGCTTCAGCTCCATTTCAGGCTCGATCTCGCCGGTGCGAGGATTGAGTCCATCGCCAGGGTCGAATTGCATATGCTGTACTGCTTCCTCGGCTTCGTTGGCATACTCGGTCTCGAATTCTAATCGGCCAGGCATGTAACCCTGGATCTCGTGGCAGCTCGGAACACTGGCAGTGGGTTTGGTTTTGGGTTGCAAGGCCGGCGCATTCTTGGCCCTTTCTCTCCGTTCTTCTATGCGACGTTTCTTGCGCGACTGGAACTCCTCTCTCGTGATCTCGTTCGCAAGCTCTGAATCGTGGGGGCTGCATCGTTTGGGCAGAGGGAACCGCGAAGAGTCGACAAAGGTGTTGAGGTAGTGGTCTCGGACTTCGTCCTTTTCGCGAAAGCCGCCAATATGGTCTGCTATGTCTGCCCAGGAACCGAGTCCATATATCTCTGCGCCCTCGATGAGGAGCAACTCTTCGTCTGCGCCCCATTCCCTGTCGAATATGGGGAATGAGTTCTGTTCGATTACTCGGAAGGCATGTGTGGCAGGGTCGTGGGCATTCCGCGCTTCACCCTTTGCAAAACAGGAGACGCATAGATCGAAGTCGTTACAGGCGGGATCCGCACACCTAATGCGAACCTGAACAAGATGCGCACTTCGGATCAGCATGGAAACTCTCGGAACAAGGACGAGCCATTGTCCGGCGCAATGGCGGAAATAAAAACAAGAGAAAACTGCGCGGAACTTACCGTAGATGTAATGTCGGATGAGCAGACATCGCAGACGTATTTGACGCCGCCTTCGCCGCCTCTGGTGACGGTTTTCTTCCGGATGACGCCCATGTTCGGGGGTTGAGAGCGTGACGTGTGGCAGCGGCTTGCGCACTACCCACACTAAAGTTGTGTTCTGGACAGGGCGGAGATGCGGAGTGACGGGCGGCTACCGCAGACGCAACCGCCTAAAAAGTGGAATGAGAACTCGGATCTGAATGCGCAATACCGGGAGATGATGGAAATGCACGTCTTGTGATGGAATCCGATGCGGAAGCGGCTGGTTCTGATGGATTTTCCTGGAGAGCGCCTGTTTGGAACTCGTCTGTCAGCCTTTGGAGATGGTCCAGTGCAATAGCGACGACAGGGGGGCCACCCATCAGGCATTGTTGACTTGGCGCAATTGCGTGCCCCTTCCAGGCTGGTGCTGCTGTCGCGTAGCTGACATAAGCGGGCCCCAGGTTCCAGGGCGGGGTACACTGCCTGACAGGGAGCAACCAAGAGCGCTTTCTGGAACATGGGTTCCTTATCGATAAGAGCCAACGACGGAACCCAGCGTCGGTCTGCTTCTGCATTTTGGATGCTCGCAGCAGCTTTCTATCACGTTGGGCTTCGAACAGCAAGGTTACACAAGCCCTATGTATCCCGGACTTATTGATTATCCATTTCAACATACCACTTGCCTCCGTTGCTCCCATTGGTCCTACGCATTCATCACAGCTCTCCTTTCATTTCCATCCACGGACAACGACATGTGCTACCCCACCAACTCTCCAGGCATTACTATCTCATACCGAGATCAATTGAAAGGTACGGTAAAAGCATTCCTTCTACTCATAGGACGAGTTGCTGTAAGCTTCTCCGTGTAGACCATGTTCGTAGGCCGGCCTCAGCAACACACTGTATTTACGGATGTGGATGAGCTCTGCTCAAACGCCGTATTTCCCGCCCGTCATATAAGAAATTGCCCTTGCTAGGAATCACTGTCTCTCCGATCTATACAGTGAGATTATACAACTCCTGGATTCTAAGCCTCTTCACATGAACCCTCACATGTTCCACGGGGGTCAAACAGACCACTTAGTCAGCCCCGACGTCATCTCCAGCCCACGCTCACCCCATGTTTATGCCAGAGGCCGTTGCAGCTCTGGAGGTACTTCGGGGCTTTCATAGCACGAACTTTTCTCCTCCTCCAGCTTTCGCCGAAAACATGGCCGAGGAGCTCCACCGATTGGCTGGGCTGTAGAAGCACCGTTTCGAATGATGATGGCCCGATTTGGTAGGCAGTAATAATTGCAGCAAAAGTGTATGTAGCTCTGCCCCTCAGCACAGGCGGCTCAACGTGCAATACAACGGTTGTTGGTACAAAAAATCACTCTTTCTTCCCTCGTCCGAACCTACGTGCCCTCATAATCCGTGTTTTTAAACCATAGCATCCAGCATGCCTGACAAGGTCCTCGACGACATCTCCCACCGGAGGTATAACCCGCTCACAGACAGCTGGCTGCTCGTCTCCCCACACCGGACAAAGCGCCCATGGCAGTGAGCACAACCAACACTCTGCGTCGTCTGATACCTGGAAATTTAACCTTGCCTTGGTGACTTGTAGAGGTCAGCAGGAAGCAGCTGTGGAAAGCGAGCTTCCAGAGTACGATCCCAAGGTTGGTCCAATCTACCACCCCCTCACATATATGTGCCACACCACTCACATGAACCAGTGCTACCTCTGCCCTGGGAACTCTCGCGCAGCAGGAGATCGCAATCCCCAGTATGAAAAGACATTTGCATTTGTAAACGACTACAGCGCTGTCAAGGAGCAGCAGCCTGACTATGAGAACAACCCCTCATCCGACGGTAAGCGCCATCGACACCCCTCTGCTCGAGAGCCGTTTCACTACTAACCTCTCCTCCAGATCCTGAGTCTTGGCTCTTGCAAGCCCAAGGTGTCAAGGGCGTCTGCTACGTCCTCACCTTCTCCCCCAAGCACCACCTGACACTGGCCGACTTGCCCGGAAAGGACATCCTCCCCATCATTGAGCACTGGACCCGCATCTACGCCAACCACCTCTCCGCCGCCAGCCCGCTCGCCAAGCTCGCCCAAGGGCTCGACATCTCCCTGGACGCCCCCGTGCCCAAGGACGAGTACCGCTACATGCAGATCTTCGAGAACAAGGGCGCCGCCATGGGCTGCTCGAACCCCCACCCCCACTGCCAGGTCTGGACCACCTCCACCCTCCCCGAGGAGCCGGGCAAGGAGCTGCGGCAGATGGCCAAGTACCGCTCCTCCCACGGCGGGCGGCACCTCCTGCAGGACTACGTCGAGCTCGAGCTGAGGAAGGGCGAGCGCGTCGTCTGGCACAACGACACCTTCGCCGTCGTCTGCCCCTGGTGGGCCATCTGGCCCTTCGAGGTCGTCGTCATCGCCAGGCGCCACCTCCGCTCCCTCGTCGACCTCTCGCCCGCCCAGCGGCTCCACCTCGCCGAGGCCATCCAGGAGGTCGCGCGGCGCTACGACAACCTCTTCGGCACCAGCTTCCCCTACAGCTCCGGCCTGCACCAGGCCCCGCTCGCCGGGTCCGAGGAGGAGGTCGAGAGCTCGTACCTGCACATGCACTTTTACCCGCCGCTGCTGCGGTCCGCGACGGTGAGGAAGTTCCTGGTCGGGTACGAGCTCATGGCTGAGCCGCAGCGGGACATCACGCCCGAGCAGGCGGCGGCCCGGCTGAGGGACTGCGGTGGGCCACTGTACCGTGCCAAGGTCGCATGAGGGGAGTCATGGGGGAGTTAGGATAGAGTGTTGAAATGATGAATGAATTTGACATTAGGTATGATGGTGTATGCTTGACATGCTCCTCCTCTTCGCTGTATGCCTCTTCCCCGGGTCTAATTACGAACTCCCAACCCCTCCCCGGTTGATTTTTATCTCTATTCAATCGCTTGTGATCTAAAACCCACCCTTTTCCCAATTCTACTCAATCGTGACGTAGTACTCCCGCACCATGGGCATCCAGATCAGGGCGCAGGTGGCCAGCGTGAAGGGGAAGAACTGGGGGAGCCCAAAGGTCATGGACTTGAAGACGAACAGCTCGGTGGCGAAGTGGCCAAAGGCGACGACGTAGGTCCACAGGGCGATGTTGTAGACGGGGCCGTGGTGCAGGTGGTAGGCGGCGTAGAGGCGGACGATGCTGATGATGAAGGTCCAGGTGCCGAAGAGGCGGCCGGTCAGCGGGGTGAGCTGGTCGGTGGCCTTGGGGTCGTTGTGGGCGGGGATGAGCTTGTCGACCGCGTCTTCGGGGTTGAAGGTGGACGAGGCTGGGGGGAGCTTGGTGTTGCGGATGAAGCGGCCGTTGTACACCCTGCGGGAGAAGTGGAGGGTCGTGTAGTTCTGTACGCTGTTGCCGATGGAGATGACGGAGAGCTGTTCGAGAGTCGACGACGTGGTTAGCAGTGTGGTGTAGACGGGGGGAGAAGGTCGGGTTGTGCGGGATGAATCTGGTGGTGTGCATACCAGGAGCATGTAGTAGGGCAGGATTCCCTTGGCCTCGGGGAGGAAAGGCTTGATTGCGTCCATTGTGATTAGGGGGTCGGTATTGTAGGAGATGGAGGAGAGCAATCAAGAAAATAATGCAAAATGTGTGTTGGACAAAAGGAAGATGGGAATGTTCAGCTGGGCGAAGAAGAGTCGGGAGTGCCGTCGGACAGGGGAGCTAAATCTTGGCTTGGGCCGTTGGTGGCGGTCTTAATTCAACCCCACCAAACAGTTCCGACAGCCAGGCGCGACAAGAAAGGGCTGATCTCTCTACCTAACTTAGGTAATAAAACACTGCTAAGTGAGTAAGTAATCTATAGGAGAAACGGCACCAATTGATTTGCATATTCTTCGGGTTCCGTTTTGGGGCCGTGCGAGCTTGTGTGGCATTGTTTTTGATTTTCAAGTTTTCCTATTTTAAGTGTACATTGAGTCCAACAGTAAGAGTATCGTCTAACATGGGCGCCCGAAAAGCCATTGGGAAAAGTATGTATGCAGCCAATATGACACTGCAAGTCCCGGCAGCTGTTCAAAAAAGAGACGTCCCGCTCGCCCGCTTAGGCCCCGGCGGACATTCCCAAGCCACACAAGTAAAAAAAAATAAAAAGTAGACATGATCTCCTCCACTGCTCCCTCCCAATCTTCGCTCCCCTTTTTCAACCCTCGCCCCTCGTCTAGCTCGAGTTCATGGCCAGCTTGATGTTGGCAATGGCCTTACCAGGGTTCAAACCCTTGGGGCAGGCCTTGGTGCAGTTGAGGATGGTGTGGCAACGGTACAGACTCATGTTGTTCTCGAGGTTGAGCTTGCGCTCGGCTGTGCGCTCGTCACGAGAGTCGGCCAGCCAGCGGTAAGACTGGAGGAGGATAGCAGGGCCCAGGTACTCCTCTGAGTTCCACCAGTATGAAGGGCACGAGGTCGAGCAGCAGGCGCACAGGATGCACTCATAGAGACCGTCGAGCTTCTTTCGGTCCTCCTTGCTCTGGCGATATTCCTTGCCCTGTACAAGAGGAGTCAGTAAACGAACGGGCCACATGAAACATGACCAGGCATTCTGGCAAAAGGGGGGGTCGCGGAAGAAGACAAGAGGGAGCAATTAGCTAGAGGTCACACGTACGTCTTCGGCGGGAGTATCGCGCTGCAGGTAGGGCTTAATTGACTTGTACTGCTTGTAGAAGTACGTCAGGTCAGGGACAAGGTCCTTGACGACATAGGTGTGGGGAAGAGGGTAGATTTTGACGTCGGCACTTGACTCCGTGGGAATACGGCCTGGATTGGCGATTAGCACACACGAGGCAACTCAAAAGGCGAGGACGGCACCCAAAAGACCCAATTGGAGTCGATTGGGATGAGGAACTCAATGGATGAGCATTGGGGCGCGCTGGGTGGCTACGTACACAAGCAAGCAAGGGTGTTCTGGCCATTGATGTTCATGGCACAGCTGCCGCAAATACCCTCTCGACAGCTCCGTCGGAAAGTGAGGGTAGGGTCCTGCTCGTTCTTGATGCGGATGATGGCATCGAGAATCATGGGTCCGGTCTTGTTGAGGTCAATGGTGTAGTCCTGCATGCGAGGCTTCTCGCTGGGGGTGTCTGGGTTCCAGCGGTAGATCTGGAAGGTCTTCAACCGAGGCTCCGGCTCTGCTGGCGTCTCGCTGACTGTGGCCATGGAGCGAGTGAAGGCGGCGCGGGTAGGGAGCATGGCAGCCCGCGCACCGAAAGAGGCGCCCAGTACGCGGCTTGAGGAAGATCGGAGAGCAGACATGGTTGACTCGTCAAGGTGTGCGGGCTGGTGAGGAGAGGGAAGGGATTGGAGGTTTGGCTGGATTACTTTCTTGCCTCTCTGGGGGCGGCTAGAATTAATGCGCACGAGATCGGTACGGGACTACTCGGCTGGAGATTCGATATACCTCGCCTGCTATTGGCTGCACTGAGCCGAGAGTGGATTCTGGCAGTTGATCGAGCCGCTTACCTAAGCCTCGGTTGGACTCGATAGCACAGGCAAGTTGGAAGAGCTGGCACGCACCTTGGGTTCCTTGGTTGAAACACCCTTGAGATGACTAGTGTTGATTTGCTGTTGGGTTTGAAATGCAACTCGCGGGTCTTTGAGGCCTGGTTCGTATTTATATGAGACGTCCCGGCTCCCGCCTGAAGCAAGCAATCGACGGCTCATCGAAGGAGTCTACCAGATGCCCTAGTCTGCTTAGAGTTCCGCTCGCCCACCCTTCCCTGGCCACGCCGACCAAGTGCATACCTGTGTCCTCCCTTGAGTTCTTCTCTAACTTGGCAGATAAAACCCCTCTGTTGAAGCCAAACCCAGAAATATGAAGAGTATCTCTCCATAAGTTTCCACGCAGTCCCAGCTTCTGCTCTCTGCCTCACTAGTACCGAGGCTCGTCGGCGGCGTAGGAGATGGATTCCAGCACATCTCAGAACGGGCAGTCAACATCGTAAATGGAGAATAGTCAGTATAGCTAATGCGACAGGTTTTTTTATTTGCTATTATTCTCCATTAAAAGAAAATCATGGCTATCATCGATATTCAAGCTGATCACAGCGATCTACCGTGCCCCTTCTCCATTACCTGGGGATGGCTGACCTCACTTGGCAGATCTGCCCCACAACTGGCTTGTGGGAGGTACTTGGTACGTGCGCATCAAAAGTGGATCGGAGGTGTTCTCTTCTCGGGGAGGGAGGCGGTGGGGCGCGTTGCTGGAGGGACAGTTTCAGGTGTTCAGGTATTTACAACACACCATCCAGCGCTCGTATTGGGGGCCAGCCGTCCATGTGCGTCACAAGCCCAAGCCACCGGCAGGCAGAAGCTTCCTCCCCGCCCTCACCAGACTTCACGCTACTATTGTCCAACAGCGATCACGAGGCAGTAGACTACCCGAGACATTGCGAACAAGCTCTGCGGTCGTGCTCCCCAACAAAGCACTTCCAATAGCACCAACGAACCATCGGGCTGCTGCTATGCCTCACCCCTAACGCCCCAGCGGTAAAAGTCTCCCGACATTCCAACTGCACGAATGATTGCGCAGCCGTGATCAACCCCAGCGAAAACGATCGCGGCCCTCATTCGGCTCTATTTGGCTCTATCCAGCCTTGCATGCAATCCGCTCGACATTTTTTTTTATTCGGCGATAAACTGCATTAACCATGGCGCTCCACTCGCAATTCCGCATGCCAGGAACGTTCCAGTCTGATGGCGTTCACCCAGACATATTCCGCACTCCCGCCAAATCACCCTGTTCTGCATCGAGTTCTGGCTATCTTCCCAGCCGAGCAGGCATCGAGGAGGAAACATCCACTAAGCGCAAACGACACCACGGCGATGGCTACTCCGCGCGTATCCGCACCCAGAGCCAGAGCCTGGCCCAGAACGCCGCCGCCAGGTTCAACAACCCATTTCTTGCGACCACCCACCCAGAGCCAAGGGCGTACACCTTGGCAGGCCATATCCACACCCCGACAACTGAATACAATGATGGAAATACCCCCATGGCCGACAGCGTATACTCGGATTCGGACTATCGAAAAATGCTAGGAACTAAGAGGCCCCGAGATGATATGGATGCGAACAGCGTGCCTGTCTTTCCGAATCAACCGATCCAGCAGCAGCAGTATCTAGACCAGCAACAGCAGCTCGCACAGTCCCAGGGCTGGGGCGCATTCGCCTTCGCGACCCTTGGCGATGTGGTTGGTCGTTTCTGGCAGTTCTGCAAGGCAGGCAGTTTCAAAGGTTTCCACGCTGGCGGCGGTCGTGGCTATGAGATGAATGGGCAAGCGGATGGGATTGCGCCCGTGACTCCTAACGAGCCTAACAACTTCCAGTACCAGGCCGAGCACCTTTTTGATGCCAGATTCTCTCGAGCGACCGCAAGAGAGTACGCAGATAACAATAGCGACGCAGACAGCAGGTCCTCCTCGCCCGCCGCTCCGGCTGCGAAACGGCGCCAGACCGGTCCCGCCGACGAGCTGAACAGGAACTGGGTCATGGTTGGTAAATCCGGCACACCATCAACAACACCCCGCGGCTCCATTCATACCCAGCAGAGACAGACGCCTCGAAATCGAAATCACGGCCCTTCGGCTGCTACAGGGCGCCGAATCAGCACGCCAACCAACCGTCGTTCCACCATCGGCTTGGGGCCGCTGAATACGGTCGTGCCCACACTCGCGGAATCTCGGCCTGCATCAACGGCTTCCTATGCCTCCCCGCGGTCCCCGTCCCCAACGAAGATTCCCAATCCTAGCGCTTCAGCTTCCTTCTCCATCCCTAGAAATCATGCCTCTCGTCGCCCTCGCTCACAAACAGGCGTCGTCACAACACCTTCGCACCGACGGACGAACTCTGCTGCCTCAATAGCATCACCTCGAGGCACGTCGTTTAATGAAGGCGCCGGCGGCAGTCCACGCCTCTCGGCGGAGGCAAGACAGCTTGCCGCCAGGCGCAAACAGGAAGACGACGATACTGATTTCCGAATGGAGGCCTTCAACAAACAGCTCCAGGACATGATCCGGCAAGGTAAGGAGGCTCTCGGGACGACAATAGAAGTAGAAGGGGACGATGACTTTGGCGGTGGAGGAGGGTGGGAAGACTATCCGTGATGTTCATGTTGCCCCCCTCCCATGATCAATGACGGTGTGAAACTTCTTCCCCTTGCCCATTGATGATGAAAAAGCCCTATTTTCTTGTATTTCCGATACCCTCGCTTGTAATGACTATTTGAAGGACGGCGATCTCGTCGCTGAGTGCCTGCTTACGGAGTTTGGCGGTTGCTTGTATGAACACAGATTTGTTCTCATGTATTTTAGTTTAGACGGGACCAGAGCCCAGGGCGCGTGTCTGATGGACCAGTGCGTCACCGGCATCCCAGTAATAGTTGATTCATGATCGGTCAATGGAAATTTGCCAGCCAGACACGCAACAGAAGCAGTGAATGAAGTCGCCTGGGGACTTCAAATTTATGGGATCCAATGATCTATCTGATAATGTCCATTACACATTCGCTTGTGTCATGCTAGCTTGGACAAGCTTTGCCAAAGAATGGATCATCCCTGTGGTCGACTGTCTCGCATCCTCTTACCAGCACAATGAACTATCAGAAGCAGCATGCGTAACCAAAAGGGTTACGGCCAAAGCGACATGGAAGCTTCGTAAATCTGGTTCAGTCCCCACATGCCGTCGCTGCCATGACGGATCCACTAGAAAGTGTGTTTATAGAGCAAACAGCAACCAGTAATTGACGCTCTGCAACCAACTTACACCTCACTCAGCTTGTGACGACGACTCAGTCGGTGCAGGCAGCTTTGACGATTGCTACCCCCGTCGCGTCGTTGCTGCCAGCCTTTGCCCTCCCTCCCTCCCTCGATTGAAGCTCACGCACTGTACCATCAGCTCGTCCCGCATTAGATGGCTTGAACAAGCTGCTGTGGAAGGATGTCTCAACGCACGCCCAAGCCCAAGGCCCAGCCGCCCAACCCCGAATTCAAAGCCATTCAGAAGCAATGGGCAAAAGCGAAGCGAGAGGCCGACAAGAACAAGGCCCAGGCCGCCGCCGCCAGTGGCCAGGCCACGCGAGACGAGCAGAAGCGCCTCGACAAGCTCGAGGAGCAGCAGGGCAAGATTGACAACGCACGGAAGCGCGGCTTCGAGCGCAAGTGGAATTGGACCTTTGCTTTCTGGACTTGGGTCCTGGCTATCCACGCCCTTGCCATATACCTCTTCACCAGCGGCTTTCTGTTGACTCGGCTGATGCTCCCCGACATCTCCAAATGCGACGCCCCTCCAATCGCCGACAGCGCTTCGGCCAAGGCCCCTCTGAACGTCAATCAGGGTTGCTGGCATCCCAAGACCTTCGACCGCGCCGTGGTAGTTATCATTGATGCGCTGCGCTACGACTTCACCGTGCCCTTCGCCGAAGACCAAGCTCACGCTTTCCACAACGCCTTCCCGTTCCTCTACGAGTCATCCGTGCAGAGCCCCAACAATGCTTTCCTCCGTCCCTTCATCGCCGACCCCCCGACGACCACCTTGCAGCGCATCAAAGGCCTCACGACTGGCACCCTCCCCACCTTCATGGATGCCGGCAGCAACTTTGCTGGTACGGCCATCGACGAAGACAATCTTCTCATGCAGCTCCGAGACGCCGGCAAGAAGATCGCACACCTGGGCGACGACACGTGGTGGGCGCTGTTCCCTGAATACTTCGAGGCGAACATAAGCAAGGCCTACGACAGCTTCAACGTTTGGGATCTTCATACGGTCGACAATGGCGTCATCGATAACATCTTCCCTCTCATTGAGTCCGGTCGAAAGCAAAAGGACCAATGGGACCTGCTCATCGGACACTGTCTTGGAGTCGATCACGCAGGCCACCGCTATGGACCGGACCACGCTGCCATGGCCAGCAAGTTGAAGCAGATGGATGAATTCGTGCGCAAGCTTGCTGCTTCTATCGATGACGATACTCTGCTGGTGGTCATGGGTGATCATGGAATGGACAGCAAGGGAGACCATGGCGGCGAGAGCGATGACGAGGTCGAGGCTGCCCTTTGGATGTACTCCAAGCGCCCGGTCTTTGGCCGGACCGATCCTGCGTTCAAGATTCCTCCCCCGACGGCTAAGAGCCACCGGGCGAACCAGATTGATCTTGTGCCTACTCTTTCTCTCCTCCTCGGCGTCCCCATTCCCTACAACAACCTAGGACGGCCCATCGAGGAGGCCTTTATTGGGCCAAAGAACAACAACTGGAAGAGCTTGGCTGCCGCCTCGCGGATGGCTGCTGCGGGTATCGAACGATACCAAACCTCATACTTCGAAGCCCGAGGCATGACCCAGAGTACTGAGGACGATTCTCCCTCTCGGCTCTGGGAATGGGCTCTGGACCTCGCCTCGGGTAGTCGGGAGGAATACAATGCGTTCACAGTATTCCAGGAGGAGACTCTTCAGGTGTGCAAGGGACTCTGGGCTCGATTCGACGTCAAGCGCATGATTGCCGGAGTAGTCGTTGCAGCTGTTGGTGTAATTGTGCTCCTCATGTACTCAGCCCGCGACCCGGATGAAGACTACGCCGTGACAAACGATATCGAGCTTGATTTTGCCGAGAAGCAGCTGGAGCTTCTTGGTGTCAAGAGTGAGGAGGATCTCGATACATCCAGTGACCCTGAGTTCCACCGCGACTTGGTGTCCGGTGTCTGGGACCTCCGTGTCATTCTTGCATTGGTCATCTCCTTCGGCGTTGCCTTTGTTCGAAAGGAACCGATGGAGGCCCTGGTTTCAGGAGGAACAACTACGCTGCTCATAGCCCTTGTTGTCTCAGTGTTCCATATGACCAAAACGCTGCACCAGGCCGGCAAGACTCTGCTCAACATCGTGCCAGACAACATCTGGGGCTGGATGGCATTTGTGTTCACCCTGGGCCAATCCATCGGCTTTGCCTCGAACTCATTCACAGTCTGGGAAGACTCCATTCTTCTCTTTTTTATCACCACTTTCGGCGTGGTGAGTGTCGTGAAATCGTTCCGGCTCGAATCGGCAGTCAACCGAACTCTCGCTATATACCACTCGATTTCCTTTATAATCCTGAGTAGGCTTGCCTCCTTTTCCAAGCTGTGCCGCGAGGAGCAGATGCCCTTCTGCACATCCACATACTACGCCTCTACGACATCCTCCACGTCTGCTCCTTGGCAACTCGCCATCCCCGTCATCGTAAGCCTGGTGCTGCCCAGCATCGTCAAGTCTTTCATCACCCCCAGCAAATCGTGGGCTGGACTTATGCCGACCTGGGTTACCGGAGTTTTCCGATTCGGCTTGTTCACCGCAGCCGCCTATTGGATCATCGATGCTGCTGACAATGGAGAGTGGCTCGCTGGTCGTGTTTCATCCGAGATTCTCAAGTCCTTCGGCAGATACGTCGCACAGCTCGGACTCGCCGTTGGCTTCATCGCCGGCTCTACAGCCTTCATCTGGGCACCTCCCAGCGTGGAGGTCGTCTCAACCGCCCCGCAAACCTCTGGCCCTAAGCAGCCCCAGGCCCGCGTTACAATCCTCGGCTATGGAAACGCACATGGCGCTCGATACCTGATCCTCATCCTCAACCTCGTTGTCGGGATTTCCGTCGTAACGAAGCCCATGGGCATCGGCTCTCTGGGCCTGATGCTATGGCAGATCCTCGCCCTCGCCGAGATCGTGGACCGCCTGGGCATCAAGTCCGAGGCCATCGGCCCCGTCATGCTCGCCATGCTCGGCAACTTCTACTACTTCCGCACCGGCCACCAGGCCACCCTGGCGAGCCTCCAGTGGGACGCCGCCTTCATCCCCCTCGAGACGATCCGCTACCCCTGGACCCCGCTCATCGTGGCCCTCAACACGTTCGGCCCGCAGATCATCGCCGCCGCCAGCGTGCCCCTCGTCACCAGCCTGTGGAACGTCGGCCCGAAGCAAAAGGGCGTCCTGGACTCCGTCTCCAGGGGCCTGGGCGCCTTCGTCGCCTACTACGCCGTCGAGGCCCTCGCCTCCATGGGCTTCGCCGGCTGGCTGAGGCGCCACCTCATGCTGTACCGCGTGTTCAACCCCAGATTCATGATGGGCGCCCTGCTCCTCCTGGTCGTTGACGTCCTGGGCATCTGGGTTGCTCTGCTGGGTGTGCGAGGCAACACATTGTCCGTCGGTGAGGTGTTTGGCTTCGCCGACTGATTTTGGACAAGATTTATAGAAAAAGGAGGAAGAATAATTTGGGTTCAGGAGTGACGGACGGCACTGTATTGGTATACATGAACTGCATCCTCCCTTATGTTTTATTATAGGTATATTATACAAGCTATTGTACTAGACTTGGCCTTGGATCAAATGGCAGCCTTAAGTTGTCCACTTTCTTCATTCCCATCTTTGTAGGTATAAATACAATCCAAATAAGTTAATTTTTATACATCAGGCCTCAAGGCTTGGGTCCGCTTTCTCCAGTAACTTGGTCCTGGGAGACTTGGTCCTGGGAGACTTGCTCTTGGAGGACCTGCTCTTGTGGGACCTGCTCTTGCGGTACTTTCTCTTCAGTTACCTGATCTGGCTTGGGGTTCTTAGCCTTGAGGTTCTTGGCCTTTGGGTTCTTGGCCTTGGGGTTCTTGGCCTTTGGGGGCTGAGCCTTGGGGTTCTGAGCCTTGGGGGAGGGCTGAGCCTTGGGCTTCAGTGCTGTCTTGGGAACTGTGCGAACATGAGCAGTGGCCTTCACGGCCATGCCTCCGACCGGCTCCTGGATCCAGACATCCCATACCGAAATGGAACCCTTCTCCTCCTCGGGGCTATCCTTTGTCTCCTCGGGGCTCTTTCCAATCTCCCCGAGGCTCTGCTCTATCTTCTTGAGACTCTTCTCTATCTCCTCAAGACTGTTCCCCAGCTCCTCTGGGCTCTTCCCCATCTCCTCTGGCCGCTTACGCAAGCAGATCGTGGCCTCTTGCCCGACGTAGAGCGGGCGAAGGTTCCTATACGAAATCTTGAGCACGTGAGAGAACGTAGCGGCTGCGTTGGGCACAGCGTGGTTGAGGGCCCGCAGCATGAGGGCCAGGGTGAGCGGGCCGTGGACGATCCCCTTCTCCCGGTCCAGGTGGATGAAGTGCGCGTTGTTCGTCAGCGCTGAAAACTGGAACAGCTGTTCGGGTGTTGGTGTGAACTTGTATTCGATGTCGGGTTCTCCCGGTGCTGTAGGTTTTTGTTTAAGTCAGCGACCACGTTTCAACCTAGGCTATTCAACAATCACATCGTGATCAAATCCCAGGTGTCGGAAGAGAGGGGAAGAGACAGCATATAAGCGACTGCTTAGACCTACTTCCAAACGACGTGGCCTTCGGCTCAAAATTGGGCACAAAGGCCAACAACCTGGTCTCCTCAATATCAACCGGTTGTTCACCCTCCTTCCCAGATCCCTTCTTCTCCACTCCATAGGTTCTCTTCAGCTCCACGACGGCCTTGGACTCGTCTCCACGCTTCAGGACCTTCATGTTGGCAAACGTCTCTGTGCAGTTCCAGAAATACGACGAGCTCAGCATGCCATGTCTGAAGTACCGGAGCCGCCAGGCCCAGTCATCGGAGAAGGTCAGCGAGCCCCCTACCCAGAGCCTGGCCGCCCCCGGCTTGGTCAGGTCGAACCCGCCGGGCACATGCTGGCTCTCGGCGCCGTCCGGGGCCAGGTCTGACGGGGCGGCGCGGATGGGGAAGTAGACGAGGTGGGAGCCCTGAGCCATGGGCTTCCCCAGCCCGGAATGAAACGTGAAAGCCTCGGGCAGGAGGTCGTTGAGGATGGTGTTGAGCTGCCTGGCCGGGCCCACATCAAGACTGTCCTTGTGGCTCCATCCCGACTTCGACTGGCTGAGGCTGGGGGGAGTGTAGGGACCGGTCACCGGGTCATCACTTGGCGTGGCATCGCTGCTGGTCGTGCCGTTGAAACGTCGTTGCAGCAACGCGGCACCCGGCGTCCGCGCAAGTGGCAAGACGGGGGCCCGCAGGCTCAGCCGGCGCAAATTCCATGACCTCATTATCCGTGTAGCTACCATAGTTGCGAGCCTGTGTGAGATGAGAGGGGCGCAAAAGGTCGAATTTCCGGCTCGATGAATGAGATCATAGTTCTATTTCATAGAGTTTTTAATTTAATATAGCAGACTACTACCTACCCTATATCCAACCAGATACAACGAGATAGTTTTACAAAACCATTTATTTAGCCTACCTATTCACTCTATAGCAACCAATCCGTCAGATATAGCATATTCCTTGATGAAAAAGATATTGTCGCACTGTGAGAGAGACTTGTGCTTCAACAGCCAACAGCTATATGTCTTACGAAGTGATCTGGTCACGCACCAAGCAGAAGGAGCAGTCTTTATGTCCCTTCACGCCGAGATTAAATGCTATGGATGGTTCCTTAGACACCATTATTTCATTACTACGTCTAACCGTAAGATATTAGATGTGTAAATCACATGAACCACACGGGCATTAACCCGCTCAGATCCCAATCCTATTCCATCGTTTTACATGTTGCTAGCAGATCTTTTGGTCTATCCGATATTAGATCATCCGCCAACAACAACCTATCGAACACAAAGAGCATAATGATGCTCTACCGTGCTTCTCCTCTTGACCAACCCAGACTAGACAGGGAGGAGCCGCCTTGCTGGGCCCTGGTTAGTGAGAAGTGATTAGGTCCTTTCCGCCTCATCGTACATGCGCCGGCACTCTAGTGGCATACTTGACAAAATCGACTTGCGGGCCATCCGGGGTCTAGAACAATAAGGCCCTTGCCAATCATATTCCAATTGGCTGGTTGGATATTTTGCCGTACACTCAGCTCTCGGACGCTTACTGCAGGTACTCGGAAGGAGTCTTGACGTTGTTCTTGCCAGCCCAGGACTCAAGGTCGAACTTGGCCTTGAATTGCTCTAGAGCACCGTCAAGACCGTACTGGCTAGGAACACCCTCAATACGGTGGGTAGAGTTGAGGTTCTTGACCAGCACAATCTGGAAGCAGGTGGCACTGCCCTGGCGAGAGACGATGGTGGAGTAAGCAAGGAAGTACTCCCAGATCTGCGAAATCAAGTCAGCATGCTAATCTAAAACGAGAATTTGAAGGGCGAAACGTACTCGGAACCAGCGCTTGCCGTACTTGGCCTCGACCTTGTCACGGTTCTCAAGCCAGTTACGGTACCATCTCCAGAGAGTAGCAGAGTAGTGAACACCAATGGTATCAATGCCCTTGACCTCAAAACCAGCGGCCTCGAGCTTGTCAATGGTCCAACCAAGAGGGGTCGAAGCGTCAGCACCAGGGAAAATGTACTTGTTCATGAACAGACCCCAGGTGAAGTCATCGTACTGCCAAGCCTTACGGAGACCAGCATATTGCATGAAGAAAACACCATCGTCGTCAAGCATGTTGTAGATCTGAGAGAGGAAACCAGAGAAGTGACGGACACCGACGTGCTCGGACATCTCGAGACAGGTAATCTTTTGGTAGCCACCTTCGGGGACAGGGACATCACGGTAGTCGCAGCACACAATCTTGCTCTGCTCCTCGGGGATGCCAACCTTGCGCATGGCGCTGTTGCCCCAAGCAGTCTGGTTGCGACCAAGAGTGACACCAGTGACCTTGGCACCGTAGTGCTCACTAGCGAAGCGTGCAAGAGTACCCCAACCACAGCCAAGATCAAGCATGGTCTCACCCTCCTTCAGTCCAATCTTCTCACAGACAACGGCAAGCTTGTTATCCTGGAGCTCCTCAAGGGTCTCCTCGCGGTCGACGTCGCTGATGACACCTGAGGTGTAGATCATACGAGGGCCAAGGAACCAGCCGTAGAAGTCGTCGCCGCGGTCATAGTGGTCACGGACCTGCTCCTCGTCTAAAGGATCATTCGTTAGTGTCCAGGCCAAAGAGCTTGACAGAATATACTGCGCTGATTACTTACCCTGGGAGCGAGTGTGCATGATCATCTCGGGGAGGAATCCAAGAAGGAAGAAGCGAATGAGGCCAATGGTGAAGCGGAAGCTGGCCCAGTCGTGGCGGTACTCGAGGGCCTCAAGAGCATCGCCCTTGAAGTCAACCTCACCGTCAAAATACATCTCGTGGAAGGTCTCCATTGCGATCTTGGTCTGGCCACGGTACTTGAGGCGATCGGCCTCGTTCTTGAAGTCCAGGTAGTGCTCAACACCACGGTTGGGGAGGCGAGCCTTCTCAGTCTTGCGAGGGCTGACCGCGGAGACGATGAGCCAGAAGGCAGCAAGAAGGGGCAGGTCGATCAGGATAGCAAAGAAGACGAAGGTCTTCAGGCCACCACCGACCTTCCATTTGAGGTAGTAGGGAATGCCGACCAGGAGGGAGATCAGGAGAGTGTTGCTGAACGAGTCGGCGCCGGAGCCATCCGCAGGAAGAGGAGCATTGGCAATCGCGGGAGACTGAGAATTGGCGGGTTAGCCGGAATGATCGCGGGCATGAGAGCAAGGAATTACGAGAAGCGCCATAGCTTGAGCCCATGAATAGACTCCAATTCTGGCAACATGAATCAAGGGGGACAGCCATGGAGGCGCGAGCATGACGGCTGCGCATTGATGCAGTATTCGAACATACCTTGGTGATGGGGACACCACAGTCCTCAGCAGGGGCATAGGGGACGGCGGCAGGAGTCTTGACGAACACGAAGTCCTTCTCCTTCACTTCTGACTTGGACATGATGGGCGAGCTGGAAGCACGACCGGCCACAGTCAGTCAATCAGGGTCAATTGGCAAATTCTATGGCAATTGGCCTGGGATGTTGACGGTGGGAGGTTGGAGACAGCTGTGTCGGACCAGACGAGAAGCCAGCATACCCTCAATGGAATTTTCCCCTCCCCCTGGCTCTAGTTCCTTTTAGCGTGCTTCCCCCCTGTGGCTTCAGTAGGGGACCAACTAATTGCTTTAGTTAGGGGGGCGGTGAATAGAGCGTTGGTCCACTATTTACACAGCACTCAAGCTGTCAGTGCCGGCTCTTTGCCCCAGCAAATGGGAGTTCGTGGATAAGTCAAGAGGACCATCCCGATAAGATACGGCAAAGCTTATCACTGGCACTTTGGCGAGGGGATCAGTATGCATAATGTCGACAAGTGCGGCCTGGTTCTTGCTTCACTTACATGTCAGAGGCAAAAGTCGCCATTGAGTAAGTCTCGGGATGTTCCGTGAATGATGGCAACCGTCGAAAAAGAGGTAGGGGCGGATTGACTCCTCGTTGGCATCATTTGCCGATGAATCCTTGCTAGGATCTACAGATTCCAACCTCAGCTCCAAGCAATACGAGACTCTGAAACTCTCACGATGATACAACACGTTTTACAACCACACCCATCAAGAAACCCAGCCTGCTTATACAGAGATCACAATATCGAAGACTCATACTTGATGCATTGATTCATATAGCTATTAGCTTGCTAGGAGCTCGTATGAGGCCTGCTCTTTGGGGGCTAAAATCTTGTCACGAAGAGGCACGGATAGCTTGCCGCTTGGATAGTTGGGGGCCCTGATCGACAAGACACAAACAAGGGAAAGCTCTCATGACACGATGAGCAACACTCCGGCTGGAGAGTTGACTCAATTGTAAGCGCGCGCTGGCCGACGGTGGTTGTTTCTGACATGCGGCCACATCTCTCTCGATACAAGCGCGCTTGATCCCTCGAGAGCTGAACATTGTGAGGCGTTTTCCGCCCTGCCTGCGCCACGATCCAGCCGCGATCAGCCTGGGATCAAGACCCAGGAAATCTTAGACGCGGCGAATTATCCAATTACATTGCAGAGATCCCTGGCTTATTTTTGCAATTGAGTTATCCATGCTCATCGCTAAAATATGCCCAGATGTGGTAGGGGAGTCGAGCTAATATGCGCTACACGCGCGGCTGAAAGGTTCAAGAGCACCAGGTCTCCAACCACATCAATCAATCCCCTGCCGCCTTACAGGGCGGATTACGGGCTGAAGCCTTGCATCCCGGAGGCATAGGGCTGCATCTTAAGCTCCAATTTGTGGACTGTTCTTCACGATATCCTCTGTTGAGTGGTAATTTGACGAAGGAGTATACACCTCACCCCGGAACGGGTAAATCGTCTGATCCCACCGGACGCTCAAGTTCCTAATGGCCGTCGACGGCAGTCCCCATTGGCCTTCGGTGAGTCCACGAGGGCCAGAACCTGCTCAGCATTGACGTAGACGGATGGCCTCTTGGTCAGATAGCAGACCAGTCACTCGCCGGTCACTCAACTCCACTCCCGATGGCCTAATCTGACATCCGACGTCACCAACCATACACCGAGACCAGCCATATGTAGAAGGGACGAATTAGAAATTGTAAAACGCGAGGGAGGGGGAATACGAGGCAGCAGTCCATGACGACCCGGATAACAAATCCACCCATCACATAATCATGCCGTTTATGACATTTCGATCGAAGGTCCTAGCAATTAGACTTCCAAACGGTCCTGTAACGGCCGGACGCACCGCGTGGGCAGCCCCTCTCACATAATCGGAGGTCCATGTGAGCGCTTCTATTCCATCGTTTTCGTCTACGTGCAGCGTCTCTCTTACACACCCTCACTGCGGTTTACTTACTTCTCGGCGCCCCCCGCCCGAGCGCTCGGGAGGTGCGGCCTTCGGTTCACGTCGGTACTCGCGTGCCAGTGGGCTTTGGAGGACATTAAAAGGCGAGGCTCCGTTATGCAGTGGAAAGGCGGAGAGAGAGAAATGCAGGGATAGCACACCATCATACCATGCTGCCAATCAAGCCAAGCCTTGGGGGCTAGGGGGGCATTGATGTTCAATGACGGAGAAGTCGCATCGGAGCTCGTCCATGTGGGCGGCATCTCAAACCGGAAATTTGCTTCCTGGCTGTGTATCGATGACACGGCATCATGGAAATGAAGACCGATCGACAGCCGGCGGTGATAATGTCGAATTGAGTTAACAGCAGCTCCAGAGCAGAAGCGTATTGCGCTCAGTTGTGACGCAGATTTTACATAAGAAGGGTCGCAGACACGATCAAGTAG